GGTATTTTTAGTAGCAGGAGAGAATCTTTTTCAAAAAAAGCTTAATTAATTTCACATTTTTGGAAAAGGCTCAATTTTAATTAAATGATTTCTTTTTCATTTTTTTTTTACTTATAAATACAACCTTTGAACATTTTTAAAAAAATTAGGAGAGTGATCATGATTATGATCATAATCATGATCAATGATCAAACCAATGATCAAAAGATTTATACAACGCAATCAATTTTGTGAAACGAAAATTTTCCTTTTCTTTCGAAAATTTCCAAAGTATCATTGTCAATTCTTTCTAAATATTACCAAAATATTGCAATCTTTTCTAAATTGTTACAAAGTATGTTGCACTGATTTGATTGAGTTGTATTCTTTCGTTAAAGAATGGGTTTTTAGTGTCCGGGTGGTGTAGTGAGTGTTTTCACATGGGGTCCGTATAATGGACATCCTATTTATCACAAAGTGACAAAATTGAGCGTCGATCTTTTTTATATTGTGAAACAGAAATTTTCGATTATTTTAAAAAGTTAATGCACCTTGCATATTATTTTTTTTATATTGATAAGTTTCTTTATGTTTGGGCAAAATAAGATCCTCAGATCTTGGTCCTATCAAAAACTAGATGAGAAACAAAATTTAAGGCGCATAACATAGTAACATGACTAAAATACATTGTAACAACAAAGAATGTTTTGCAAGAACATACCTTCTTTTGAAAGCTTTTCTTGGTTAAAAATAACCCAGTTAATCCAGCAGATTGCAAGATCTAAATAAGAGGTAAAAATTCCAAAAAGTATACATATTTTTTACCAAGGTGCGCAAAAATTAAATGATTCAATTACACTTCTTATTCTTTTTCATTTATTTCTTTTGACATAAAGGTAATTGTGCTAGAGCAACATATACATACATATTATTTATTACATATCGGAAAGTACATACTAATAAAAAATGCTATTTATACATGATTGACTCGAGACATAAAAGGTAGTCATAAATGCATACATATATATTTATTTATTATATATTGGAAAGTACATACATACTAATAAAAAACGTTATTTATGATTGATAGATGTTGGCCTTGTTTTCTATTGTCAAAATACAAACTTAAAAAATTTGGACTTGACCGGATTAGAGAATTGCATAACTGCAGGTCTCTCTCTATAACCTTAGTGAATGTCCAAAATTATATCATTTTCTGCAATATTTAATGAAAATTGGAAGATGTTAATGTAAAAGGTTCCCAATATTAGATTATATTCCTTGCAAAGATACCTTTACTTGACTGAGTAATAATTCTATTAAAGATTAACATGGAAGACACCCAAATTATCCACTTGGGTTTATCCAAAACCAAATATATATTTAAAGGAACAAGACTACACGAGTACTTTGATTTTATTTTTGACTTAGTTCGCCATTTATCATGTGCTTTATTATTTGTGAAAAATGAAATAAGCAAAGTCTTGCTTTGGATGGTAAGCTTGTATAACCATCTGAATTTAATTTTAATTTCTGTACAACTATAATGCATCATCTTGCATTTTTGTAATTATCACAAAATCTTTTTTATAATAAAGATCTTTTTGAAAAAAATTTATAGAACAACGAGTATTTTTAATAAATTATTATTATTTTCAATTTTTAAAAAAAAACATATTAAAAGTTTTTTTATTTCATTTGAAGTCTATTTATTTACAAAAAAATGTCAGCCCCAACTCCTGTATCTTACTCTGATATTGGTAAAGCCGCTTCAGATTTGTTTGGCAAAGATTTCCCACTTGACTATAAGCTTGAAGTAAAAAATACTGCTCCAAATAATGTTGTAAGTATGATTTGATGATTATTATTATCTATGTTGAAAAAAAAAATTACATGCATAGATTCATATGTATACTTTTATTAATTATTAATATTGTTATTAGACTTTTACACTCTCTGGTTCAAAAAAATCAAAAGACCAAACAATTGCTGGTGAATTGAAAACTAAATATGTTTATCCAAAACGAGGAGTCACGCTTACTCAAACATGGACAACATCAAATAATGTGATAGCACAAATTGAACTCGACAATAGTCTTGCTAAAGGTTTAAAGTTTGATTTACAATCAAGTCTTCAACCTTCGTCTGGAAATAAAAATATTAGAGGTGGTTTGATATTTAAACAACCGGGTTTGCACTCTAAAGCTTATTTTGATGTGGACAAAGGTCCCATTCTTCAAGCTGATACTGTGATTGGTCATGAAGGATTTTTGGTTGGTGGTGATGCCTCATATGATGCGACAGAAGGCAAAATTGCACGTTATGGTATAGCTGCTGGATATGTCGCTCCTGATTACAATGTTACTCTTCGTGCAACAAATTCAATGTCTAACTATACATTTTTGTATTTTCATCGTGTACAACCTGATATCGAGGCTGGTGCTAAAGCTACATGGGATAATTCCAAGAGTAACACTGTTAAAATGGAATTTGGTGCAAAATATGCTTTGGATAGACGTTCTTTTGTAAAGGTGATAATGATTAAATAATAGAAATTTATTTATTATTTCTAAAAATGTATATCAAAAAATGTCATTGGTTCTAATCAATCTATTGTAATGATATTTTAGGCTAAAATTGATAATTCTGGTTGTCTTGGACTTGGTTATACTCAAGAGCTTAGACCAGGTGTCAAATTAGGTTTGGGTGGACATATTGATACAAGTCGTTTGAATGAGAATGTACATCGATTTGGTCTATCTCTTAATTTTGAATCTTAAGTGTTTTTCCTTTTCGCGATTTTGATTTAATTATAATATATTGTAGCAATTTATTAAAATATTCAATAATACATAAATAATAATAATGATGACGATTATATTAGCTTTAAATATTATTTATATTCTCATAATAGAATAGAAAAAAATTATAGATTTATTTAACTTATAATTTAATCTAGTCATGTGATGTGTCATTTAAATATCCAAAAAAAAATTTTTTTTTGTATATAATAAAATGCGCCTATTAATTTAATCGGAATTTAAACTGGCATCTCTGTTTTATTTCGAAAAAATAATTATTCCAGAATTTATTTTTGATGAGGAAGCATAATTTTTTTCCCCGATTATAATATCCGACTCATCATCAGACATTAGTATTAGATAGTAACTTAATATTAAATCATTAATTGACGATCTGTGAAAATTAGTAGGATCGGCGGGGCAAAAATGGTTAAAAATCGTCAATTTAAATAAAGCACGATATTTTTGTATTACAAATCTTGCTCTTTCTATGTATGTGTAAGGTAAATCTCAGAATAATATGTCAAAATATTAAAGGGATTGGAGTGTTCTTCAAAAAAATTTGCATGTTTGTCACTGAAGTCAATAACATAAAAATTCGGAATTTTTTAACTTTCAACCAACACTATAAAGTTATTCTGACCAAAATTATACTTTTTTTTATCGGTTTATCAACAAAAAAAATTTTATTTTAATGAAACCTATCAAATG